CCTGCTTTCTTCAGTAGTGATTCGATGATTTCAATTTTTGCAACATCCTTTGCATTTGTAGGCATAAATAATTATGCCTCTTAAATAAATTGGGGCTCATATTTTTAATGTAATGCTTCCTTCAAATATCTGTAACGTGCATTCTAGTACAGGTTACATTTATTATGTCAAAATGATATCTTGTTGTTTAAGCGTTTAGAAATGAAATGAAATAATCAATGATTCTTATTAGAATTTATGTTGCAATCCTTATTCTTCTTTTATTCTTGGAAATTCTGAGCAAGTGAAGCAACTTCTCCTAAAAAAGAAATTATCTAAATCTTAAATTTCTTTACTGACTTTTATATAGAAATGCCATTTTTAATGCATCGAAAAATGAACGGAAAAATAATATACACCAATACTTATAGCGTACCCTCTAAGTTCTTTAGGCGCTAAGTTGTAAACACCCTCATTACTTGACCCTTTGCTTACGGTAAACCACGTTGTACCATCGCATGCGGTCCACACATTGTACCAGCCGTAAGCAAAGGGTTAAAGAGGTCAACAGTTCTTGTTCACTTCTTTAAAACTCTCACTTTAGGCATATGTCTCTTCTGCTAAGGGCAATACAATGGTGAATTAAATTTTAAGTTAATTTGAATAATGAGCTTTCTTTCAATTTTATTTTAAAGCAACTTCTATTTTTATCATATTCTATACTGAATCTTGAATACTTTTTATCCGCTCTACAGGAAATTGGTAAAAGTGCTGTACCAGCTGGTTCTGAAGTACAGAAAAGAGATATTTCCACCATAAGACTAGGAATGTCTCTTGCATCAAATGTCTTACAGTCTTTAACACATTACCCAGCATTACCAGGTATACTCTCTAATTCTTAAAAATCTAGTTGTCCAAGTAGCAATTAATCATGCAAATATTTTTTAAACGTAATAAATTTTTAATTTTAAGTCAAATTGAAAAGATATCAGCTTCAAACTATTGCTTTGTTTTACAATAACTTTGATTTTTTGTTAACTTAAATGCAAAAATACTTCGTTGAAATCGATATATAGTATATGTTTAAATTATAATAAATATATTAATGTACGTGAAAATTTCTATATTCCTTTTAATTTTATTTTTGTTAAATTTAATCTGTTTATAATTCTTGCATAAATAAAAATACATTAATAAATTTAATTTATTATTTATAAATGCTTTAATATACAGCATGTTACAAAATTTGACTCACAAATTCATAGGGGTGATATTAGATATAAAAAGGATAAAAACGTAACGCAGAACAAGGGATTACCAACCACGTCAAGAGGGAAATGGGATTTTACAGTCTACAACGACATAAAAACGATTCTCGAATGCACATGGAGATGACACCTATGCTTTTGAAGTCTGCCAAATCAATGACAAACCGTACTATTCTGTCCACAAGTCTTGCTTAAACTAGTGATTGAATTTGACTTCATAGGAAAAAGTCGCATGGACTGAGAAATAGGTCACGCTTGCACCATTCACGATTTCAACCCTCTGAATATAGTTTGCTGCACCATGTTCTACAATCAGTTTTTATTCTATTAGTGTCTTTTATTATCCCTCTGAATTGGTTAGTTGAATTTTTAATTACTCTGTATAAACTTTATAATATATATTCTTCTAACATTTTTGTTTATAGAAATAAAAATAGATATATTCAAGCATATAAATTAATGAATTTATATGAAAAATTTATGTATTTTCTAATATTTTTAAAATATTTATTTTGATAAATAAAAATGCCTTTTACAGTGAGACTTCACACCTCCAACAAGTATATCCAACCTACTAAAATACTGGACTGGCATCACAAGTATCCTACCACAATCACTGATGCACAAAGATTACATAGGTATGTTTGTATAATCACTGGATTAAATATAACTTAGAGTTCATGGTTCATAGCGTTTTTAAAAAGACCTTAAAAGTGCTTATTTTTGATTTTCGTTTTTTAAAAGCCCTTGCTTAATTTTCACTTTTCGAAAATGAGATGTTTTTTACCTTGTCGATTTTTGCTGTGTATTATGCAAAAGTGTGGTTTTCACGTTGTTCTATTTAGAGTTTTCACAATTAATTCAACCACCATCCATTTCGGCATGCCGTTGGCTCGTAACGTATAATAGCGCCAAACATGTTACATGTTTGATGAAATACTTGGGACTGACTACTGAGTTGAGTTCGATGAGATTCTTGCACTCTCAATTGCAACTCTGCTGCATTTTGCAAGATATTCTCAATTTCAGGCTTCATTTTAAACCCTCTGAAATCGAACCAAAAAATCTCTCTATCTTTTCATGGTGGCTAATATAATTGAGTTGGTCCCCCTTTCTGCTTTTCTTTCTTTTTTTTCAGTTTCTTGTAGGCCACTACTTGAAAATTGTCAAGACTTGGCGATTTTTCTTCCATTGATCACGATACAGAAATCTTTCCCAAAAAATTATTGATAAATACTCTAGATGCAAAGCCTGCTGCTTTTAATACAAAGCATGAAAAATATATCTGCTGTATTAAAGAATTTTGTAAAAAGTTTAGAAATGAGAGCATATTCCTATTGAAGCTAATTGATGTGTTTAATTCATAATTTTTTCCGTTTCACAACTAGATGACTCCAATGTTTCTATTATTTAACTTCATGAATTAAAAAAAAATAAAAAAAATGTATAAATAAAGAAATACATACTTCAATATATGTGTGAAAAAAAAGCTTACTTTCGTTGATCATTTATAGGTACCTACATCAGGCATCATTTGGGAAGGCCTCTGTCTCGAACATTATCAAGTCCTCTTGTTGCTCTCAGTCCGATTGGAAATTTTCAGGAAACGCCTTTTCCTCATACATTTACAACAGGTGCAAACCTCTTTCTTCAAAGAATAACTTTACAAAAATTATATTAAAAACATTCTGGCTACTGCAGAGTAATACTTAAAAGAAAGAAAAACAAGCTATTGAAATCAGATGAATTATTAACAAATTAGATCAAGGATGGGTTAAAATTATAAAAAACCTTGGTTATTTAAGATTGAAGCTGAAAGCTGGTTATTAATGAAGGGCAAGTACATTCCAGTAACTCTATTTAAACTGGCTTTTGATGATTTTAATCCCTCCTTCATTCTGATTGACTTTGTAAATGATTTGATTACAAATTTGTTTTTAATCATTTAAGTATTTATTTGCGACCCCTTATTGTTTAATAGTTTGAGCTCTGTTTTTTTTTTAAAAATACTGAATTTAACTTTTTAACAGGTGTTGTGTACGATAGTTTAATGTTAAAACATCAATGTGTTTGTGGTAGCAATGCTCATCATCCTGAACATGGTGGTCGCCTACAAAGTGTATGGGCAAGGTTACAGGAAACCAGTCTTCTTAATAGATGCGAGGTAAGAGGCGATTTCGAATATTAAAGAAATCTCATTTATATAAAACAAATAAATACATAATTTTTATTTTCGTTCATTAATATTTTCATAATCTTACAATACCACATTTTCATAATTATGCAAATATTTAATGATTCGATGTAAAATTAAATGGTGCAACAAATACAGATAACCAAATCCCATGGCTTAAAATAGTCAAAAGATCTCAACTTAATTTTTTGTCATGTTCACAATATTAGCATTTATTTTCATTTGGTGTTTTTAATAGCCTTTGTCTATACTAAACAAATCTTATCATTGCCAAAAATACAAAAATAAACTCATTGGATATTTAACCAATCAAATTAGCTCAAGAGAAAATTCTAGTGTAGATAAAAATATAAGAAAAGTCTTACCTAAGGAGAATCCACAAATAGTAGGAGGCTAAAGAAATACAAAATGTTCCATGATAGAACTCAAATAGACTGAGTGTCATAAAAAATAGACTCCTGTGGACAAAATACTGGTCATATTTAAAAATTGCCTTTATTGAGGAGTTTTGTATTTGGATATTTTGTATTGCATTCTAATTATTACAGTTAACCGTGTTTTAATTCCTCAAAAGTTTCCTTTTTCTTAGTATATAGAAATAAATAGAAAAGTATTAACTTAATAAATAGAAAAGTATTAACTTAATAAATAGAAAAGTATTAACTTAATAAATAGAAAAATATTAACTTAATAAATAAAAAAGTATTAACTTAATAAATAGAAAAGTATTAACTTAATAAATAGAAAAATATTAACAAATGTATGCCATTTTTGGGAGGGGGAAATGTAATTATTCATTTTTTTAATATATTTTTTTAATGCTTCCGAAAACAGTTTCACTTTTGCAAGATGCTGAAGAGCTTAAGCTTTTTTAGCAACTTCGATGAAAAATATACTAAAGCATTCTTGAACGAAATTTGATAGCTATTTTTTGAAATATGTTATTTTTATATCTCTAAAATCTTATATCTCGCTATATGATACATAAACTGCAATGTTAATTTCTTTTAATTATAAGCTAATTATTTAATTACTGCAATAACCAGTCATTTATAAATAACATTTTCCTTTGCCTAAATGAAATAGAATTGTTGAGGTATGTAATCATATAAATTTTTAATTATTTCAAAAAAAGATGTTATTATGATTTAAAGAAGACTGGAATGAAAAATCATTAGAACTACAGAGGTTATAAGTTTAACAAGCTTATATTAAAAGAATTCAATCACATTGTAAATTTATGAAAGTTGGCAAAATATAGGCAATTACATGTAATTAAATTTCTGTAATGCTTAATGACATATATTCTAATTGGAAATATTTTATGTTATAAAATAAATTCATATTCATTCTCAATGTTTAAAAACTTTTAAATGATAACTTTGTTTTATTCTTTCCAGAGAATCAGATCCAGGAAAGCAACACCTAGAAGAAATCCAGTCTTGTCATAGGTAGGCTTTGAAAAAACTTATAATGTGCATTTTTATAACTTATATTAAATCCTAAATTTACAGTTTATTAAAATATTACATTTTCTTTTTATTTGCTTGTTTAGTGAATCATATACTCTCTTATTTGGGGCCAATCTTTTGAATCGACCGAAACTTGATGCCAGCAAACTAGGTATTAAAATGGTTTTTGTTTTGATAACAGTTTTATGATTATTCATTCATACAAAGGTTGAAAAAAATTTTTACGTTATATTAAAACTAGATTACAATATATGGTGAAACTAAACAGTTTATTGTTGTAAATACTTTTTTTTAACAGTTTTTAAATTTCACTGAGATATACATTAAGTTTAAATTTTAAAATAAAAAGAACCAAATCATCCAATTCTTTTGTCTGTTTCAAACAATTTCTTGTTCATATTTAACTTTAATTAACTTAACAAGATAAATAATTGAATGAAAGATAATCATGAAATTGAAACTTAATTATTTAAGCACTGTTTTACTTCTGCAATAACATTCTGCATCGGCAAACTATATGAGTTTAAAATATAAATCTTTTCTTTTTTTAATAAAGAACTACTTAACCTCTAACTGCATTGAAATACATTTCTCAGTTTAAATAGGTATAAAATTAAAGATTTTTAATTTAAGAAACTGAATAATATAATTATTTTATTTAATTGAAATTATTGTTTGTAACCCTTTTAATTTAAAATGGAAATTTGAAATAAATGTTTAAAATCTAATTTTAATGTAATTTGAAACTTTTCTTTTACTTCAAATGACTTTTATAAGTTTATAATTCAATTGTAATAGTAATTAAAAATAAAAATTTAATATTTAATCAATTGCAGCTGATCTTCCAATGAAAAATTTTGTGATGTTGCCTTGTGGTGGCATTGGTGTAGATTCTGACACAACCTGGAATGATCTACACACAGCAAGTGCTGCAAGAATGGCTGCTGGATGTGCTGTTGAATTGGCCATGAAATTAGCAACAAATGAAATAGAGGTATTATTAATATCTATATTTTAATGCTTGATAGTTATGCAATACAATGATAAGTTTATTATCAATCATCATACAGAAAAATGTTACTATATAAATAACCTTGAGAAAATTTTTTGCTTTGCTACATCTCTTAAACAAACTAATTAATTTGTTCATTACTTCTATAAGAATAATTTTGTTTTTCTTACATTGTTTCGTTGCATATTTAATTTCGTTTTCTTTCAAACATTACTTTTTTCCAAGACTAAAATTTTTAGGGATACTTTAAGTCACTAAAGGACAAAACTTACTGAGGAGTTGAAGACTTTATCAATAAAATGCAGTTACACAAATAATTTCATCGTTACATATTTTAACTAAGAGGAAAAAGCACTAAACCGTTGGTTAAAACAGTTTGGGGAAAAAGAGTAACAGATTTAACGGTAACAGCACTTTTTAAATGAAATACTTATTTTGATATTTTAAAATAATTTATATAAGAAGCTTCGAAGATCAATTGATGTTTTTCCAAGTATATTTTTTGTTTAGTCTTTTTTACAAGATTTGTACATAAATCTACAAATAGTCTACTTTTTTTTCAATAAAATATTTTATTTATTTGTAGAATGGTTTTGCTATCGTCCGCCCTCCTGGACATCATGCGGAACATCAACAAGCAATGTAAGTTTTTCCTTGAATGCTTTTTATTGAAATATATATGCATATCGTATAATAATAATGTATAAATATATAAATACATAAAATATATAAAAACATATAAAACATATAAAAATATATAAAACATAAATATATAAATATATAAAAAATATAATAATATATAAATTACAATAAAAATATATTTTAACAGAAATAAATTGCATTTATCTTTAACCAAAATCAATTGTATTTATCTTTAACCAAAATGCATTTATATGCATTATGCATAATGCATTATGCATTTATATGCAGATATCTAATTAACCTGTTGCAATATTACAGTCATCACACTAACAAAGATAATTTATCGTGGTACA